ATTTTTTATGAATTATTCACGATGTTATTTCTTCATATGTTTGTTTATGTAATGAAGAGACAAAGGAGATATCCCAAAAATGTGACTTTTGGTCGGCAATATTGTTGCGATTTTGCAAACTTTTGATCATTAACCTATTCTATTTGCCCAATTTGCTTTTAAAGATCATTAGAACTTTACAAATCAGGAATCCAAAACTGGTATGATTAACATTATAATTTTACTTTCAAAGAAATACAAGACAAAAAAAGAGTAATTCTTAGGTACGTATCAGGACCACCACAAAAGTGTTGTTTTGTTAATGCTGGACTTATCTGCAGCCTTCGATGTGATTGATCACAATATTCTTATCAATCGCCTGGAATTTTCGTTTGGCATCACTGGTGCGGCCTTGTCATGGATACGATCATACCTAAGCGATCGTCACCAACGTATTGCTATAGGTTCATCTGAGTCTAGAGATTTTCATTTACGATTTGGCGTTCCCCAGGGATCGGTCCTTGGACCTAAGCTTTACAGCCTATTTGCCAAGCCAATTTGTGATATATGTCGAAAATACAACATGAGTTTCCAGTGTTATGCAGATGATACTCAGCTGTATATGGCAATAGCACCTAATAGCAACTGGATAGATGTAGCATCTCGTTTGCAAACTTGCCTTTCCGATATAAGTTCTTGGATGCGCTCTAACTTTCTAAAGATTAATCAGGAAAAGACGGAGCTTATTATCTTTGCCCCAAAACACAAAATTCATCATTTTAAAGACGCTAGCATCAATTTTGACGGGAATGAAATTAAAGTCTCATCATGTGTGAAAAATTTAGGTGTTTTCTTTGATTCTGTGCTGAACATGGATAACCAAAGTCTACCTTTTACAACTTCCGGGGATCTAACAACGGATTTCTTCATTACCAAGTCATGTTTCTATCAACTGCGAAATATTGGACGCATTCGACCTTTAATATCAGAGAGTGCTTGTAAGACACTGGTATGCTCACTTGTTACCTCTCGTCTAGACTATGGCAATGCCTTACTATACGGCATATGCACCAGTTCCTTAACCAAACTTCAACGGATTCAAAATACGGCCGCCAGGATAATTACTCGTACAAAGAAACATGATCATATAACACCTGTGTTAGTCAACTTACATTGGCTTCCCGTAGAACATCGAATCCAGTACAAGCTGCTTTTACAGACTTTTAAAGCTTTAAACGGAACATCGCCACTATATATACAAGAACTGGTTCAGGTTTACACGCCTAGTAGATCTCTACGCTCAGAGAACTCCATGTTCCTTGTTCAGTCGCGCATGTGGACTAAATCATACGGCAACAGGCGATTTGATGTGGCTAGTGCAACATTGTGGAACAGTCTTCCTCAAAACTTGAGATTGGAAAGAAATTTTATTCGTTTTAAAAAACTATTAAAAACTTATTTATTTACTACTGCATACCCAGATTATTCTTAAGAAGCTATTTTAATTTGTTTTTAATTTTTTTTAAATTTAAATTATCTTATAACAAGGGACATCACAGCAATTTACATGTATATATATATCTTGTCTTTTTAAAAGTCTATTTATGTATATTCTTATGGCTTTAATTCGTAGTCTTTTAAGAGTTTATTCATGTATATTCTTATGGCTTTGATATGTATTTTTAGTCCCATAGTGCTTGTATTCTTATGTTTTATGCTTATATATTTATGCTAATATTTTAATGTACAGCGCTTTAGAGTAATTTTATATTATATTTAGCGCTTTATAAATTGTGCATAATAATAATAATAATAATAATAATTTCGGTAAACAACCATGCTAATGGCGGAGTTGCTAATCCCTGTAATTTATGTCTCATAAAGCAAGAGATTCCTTAATGAATAAGCTATTGTTTTTCCATAATTTATATGTTGTAACGGTTCATTTTAATGAATTACACACCGTTTATCATTGGGAGGCCAAGTGGTTAACGTGTCTGATCTAAATTCGCAAAGAAGGGAGTTGATCTTTATGTTGCTGGTTCGAAAACCGCAGTGGGGCGTGGAGATCGGTCTTTTGGTTTAGACCGTATTTAACAAGGTCTCTTGTCGCAGTAGGTGCTGGCACGAAAAAGATCCCTCAATGCACAATGTCCCTGAGTGCCAAAAATTAACACAATTAACAGCTCTCAACCGGCAAAATTCTCGAGAGTCAAGTTAAACAATACACAATCAATCAATTTAAAATTTTGTTTCTATATGGCAGGTGACGTTATTGCATTTAATACATACATAACAAAAACCCTGCATTTACAAGAGGGGACCCTCGCTGACGTTGTTTACGATGGTTTGTATTACAACCATGGAGACGCGTACGATGAGCAGACGGGTGTCTTCACAGCGCCATCTAACGGGCTTTACGTGTTTACATGGTCAAGTTGTGTAGCAGCGGGAAAGATTTTTGACGTGGAACTCCTTCTCAATGGCAAAAGAACAGGACTTGGAAACTGCAATAATGTTGGTGGTAAAGGATATGCAAACTGTTCAAATACATTTCCACTGGTTTTGAAAGCTGGGGATAAGGTGAACATCCGTACTACAAAACATGCAGATTATCTGCACCAAGATTTTTCCAGTTTTTCCGGATGGAAAGTATAAAGACAATTAAATACAATTGTATACTATAAGTATCAACGTAATAAAGCAAATTTAAAAAGCTGCCTTTTCTTAGTTATTTAACATATGTTAAAAAAATGCTGCCTGACTATACATGTACGTTTTTGATAATTATATAAGAATCTTGTTTTGACACAACAAACAGTCCTATATGGTTCCTCCGATGAGAGAGTGGTTATTTGTATGCAATAATATACTCCCCGTCAATGAAAACGCAACACTCTACTTTTAGGTTGAAAAATTATATACGGGATATAACTATGTACCAAACAAGTTAGGACATCTTTTACTTTGCCAAATTAGTTATTTAATGGTTGAATGGTTTTTTATATCATTACCGGAAGTTGCTTTTTTAGCCCTCTGAACAGATAACATTGAAATAAAACATCCCCCCTTCCGACAAATTAATCAAAACATGCTAGTCCGCCATGTACAACATTAATGTAGGCAGTCCGATTTCTACCATGTCTTAGGTTTATTAATGTCTTTATTAGAGCGAAATAAATATTCTTGGGCATGTTTAATTGCCTGTTGTTCAGATACAGCGGTCGAATTTTCTCTAACTTGGCGTAGTGTAGTAACTCTTGGACTTCCGGTCAAGAAACTGTTATTTATGCTATTGAAACACATGAGTCTGAAGAGTGTTTAAATAGTGTTAATTTGAATCTGCATCTCTTTTTTTCTTTATTTTGAGAATCTCCACCATTAGCAACGAAAATCAGTCATTTTTAGGAAATATAGGCATCACATCCGGTAAAGAAAGAAGAATTTTTTTCCCGGGCTTTTTGTACATTACTTATGGTAAACAGCTACAAAACCTTGAAAACCCAAAATATTGTTAAAAATTTTGTTAAAAATTCAAAAATTTGATTTCTGCTAAGAGGGCTAAAAAGCAACTTCCGGTAGAGGAAAGAAATTCATTCAACCGTTAAATAACTGATTTGGCAAAGTAAAAGATGTCCTACCTATTTTGGTACGTAGTTATAACCCGTGTATACTTTTCATCCTAAAATTAAAGTGTTGCGTTTTCATTGACGGGGAGTATACTTTCATCTTAAATACTAAAATCTGATTGGTTTAGACGCAGTTTACAATCCATTCTTTTGCCCTCAGCCTTAGCAACACACGTGTCAACGGGTAACACAACGGTAAAGTCACATGCATAGAAATTATGTACGTGCACTTTTATATTATCAAAACCTTAGTTGAAAGTTTGAAATGATAAATATCATATGTCGGCTAAATGTTTGTGTACAATGAAGCTTTTTTGAAAAACAACAAATGACAGTTAAAGATGTTGTGCAGAAATAACGAAAGGTTATATGATAAAGGACTCTTAGAGTATCAAACAAACAATAAAGGGGTCGATTAATCTTTTTCGAAGTAGCGGGGAGTTTGCAAGCTTTCTAAATGTGAACGTAAAGGCGATCGACGATTTTTTTTTGGCTGACATCCTAAATCAATAAAATTAACTTTAATAAAATAAAACGTGCCTGTTTTGTAATTCTTAACAGAAAACGACAATTTAATTATTTTAATATAACGACGAATTGCAAATACGCTTAACACAAATTCTAAGTATTCACAGTCTGAATCATAGTTACGTGTTAAACATAAATCATACAAGATTAAGACACAATTGTTTTGTCTTTTTTTAATTTAACTTGTATGCCTGTAACTTAATAACCAGTCCTAAATGTTCTGGTGGACCGCTGGAAACAAACTACCATTTGTTTTGTTCTTGTAAATATGTTGTAAAAACAGAGCCATAAACATGATAAATAATAAAGATTCGTAACTGTTCAAATTCTCGGGTTCAATCTCGTGCAATCTCGTGCAACTTAAATCACACAAAAGTTTAGAATTATTATGAAATACAAAGAATCTTTTCTTAATTTGAATTATGAATTGTTCACAATGTTATTTCTTCAAACGTTTGTTTATTTAATGCAGTGACAAAGGAGAAATCCGAAATTACAACATGTGACTTTTGGTTTGCCATATTGTCGCGATTTTGCAAACTATCGATCAAAATATCTTTTAGTTGCCCAATTTGCTTTTAAAGATCATAAAAACTTTACACATCAGGCATCCAAGTATGGTATAATTAATATTATTTTACTTTCGAAGAAATACAAAACATAAAATGAGTTATTTTTAGGTAAGTATCTGGACCGTCAGATATTTGGTTAAACAAACATGCTAATGGCGGAATTGCTAATCCCTGTAATTTATGTTTCTGGTTAACGCAAGAGATTCTTAATGAATAAGTTATTGTTATTCAATTATTTATATGTTGTTACGGTACATTTTATTGAATTACACAATCTTGATCACGCCAGACGATGGGGCCAGGTATGAAAAAGAAGACGTTGACATCTTGTCAGAATGGATTAAATGTATCAATTCCGTGTTAAAGTCGCGTATGAAAAGATTGAGGGGCAATATAAAGCCTTCTATCCTTCTGCATTCAAAAATCCAGAAGTGAAAAAAGAATTAGATACTAGTAGATTACTTGATCAGTACATACTGGTCCCTGCTGACAAAGCAAGTAACAACATTTTCTTCCTTCGTAAGGCTCGTTATATAAATGCATTTAAGAAGAACTTGCATTTAGTGTTACAAGTGGCAATTCCTCTTATACACATACGTCCCTCTCCAAGAAAGTAATCATATGTCAATTTTGAATATCTTTAAGATCCCACAGAGCCAAAATGAATTTGAACTACCATATATGTATTGGATTACGAAACTTCATAAAAATCCTAACAAACAAAGATGCATCGTGGGTTCCAATAAATGTTCATGCGAGTCTCTTTCGTTACTCTTTTCTTAGATATTAACAGTAGTGAAGGGAAAACTTAAGAGAACTGTACAACAATAATTCAAGAAGTGGAGTGAATTAGATGTGGATACTCAAAAATTCAGAAGAACTGTTGAAAAATTTGAAATCACAATTTTACCAAAATCAACAGCTTAAAAACTTACGATTTTAATTTTTAAATTAAAACACAACCATTTCTCACGGAAAATTAAAAGTTCGGGGTTTTTGTTATCAATGACAGCTGCTTTTTCAATAAAAATGGAACTCGTAAATTAAGTTACCTGGTCATTGGTCATTCGCAAAATTATTTTGTTGAAAAACATTCTGATTGCACACACAAGTACTCTGAAGTTGATATCAAAAAGACACGACACGAAGTTGAAAAGCATGGAACTACGTGGGTTGTCCCAAAAAGTCGTAGACATGGAAAACAGTTTATTTTTCTCTTTTTTGAATTAAATTTCTTTTCTTCTCATAACAAAAAGTAACATTATATTATCATGCATTTCAAATTTCATAATGATATCATATTTAAAGAGGAAATTATGAAAAAATAAAGAAAGCATGTAAGTGTACATCGGCGCACGAAAGCAAGCGTAATTTACGTCTCATATAACGTCATGATCTCTTTTTTCTGCTTCACACGCGTCTGTTTACATTCAATTTTTTTTTTAAGTGAAAGACCACTCTTGACTAAGGGACTTTTTTTAAATTCACAACTCTCAGGCTTTTTGTTGTTTTTTTTAAACAGATTCAAATTTTAGTCGAAATTTAGTCAAAAGATCGCCATACATTGTAGGTAGCAGAGAAAACACATTGTTTGACATCCTTTGTGGTCCAGATTGTTCCCCGTTGTCTGCGTACCTTAACAAACAGTACTCTACTTCTAACTTGTTGTAATTATTTTTGGTATAGAGGAAAAACTCTCAGTGAGTTTCATGTCATTTAAAAATAACGTCCCTATTAAAATCTAACGTGTATTGTCACTTCTGTACTTTTTTCCTGTCTCTAATGTATACAGATCATAGTATTCAAAACAATTTATTATATATCCGTGCGCCGGTTACGCGTTGGACGACGTCATTTTCATCAAACACAATTCTAACACTTTAAAAAACATGACACCAATCGCCTGCTTCCAATGCTATTTATATGAATTTTGACATATAATTAAGATTTTGATTCTGATTTCAATGATGTAAATTTGAGTTCAATGTTTTGTATAGTACTAAAGAAATGAAAGCAAATGTAATAGTTATATCCCTAAAATATTCCGAAATTTGCTTGTGCGCCGACAAACCCTATCGTCCCTCATATAAATTGTCATAATATTATTAATATGAAAGATATATATTTCAAAATCCACAATTTTAAAGAACATTCCCCCTTTCCTTTGTTTAATATAGCAATATTTGCTTGTACATATATGTCTCACAGATATCTCATTATTAAATTATATACATTCACTCAATCAGCTCAATGATAAGTGTCATGCAATTATGTAGCGTTTTTTTTAACTGATCAAAAATATATTTTTGAAAAATACAAAATTATGTAAAGAAATATAATTACCGGTAGTACATTTAAATTAAAGCATTTAATACAATTCGGAGCACGGAGAACACCTCGTTTTATCTAACAATACGATTTTATCTTCTCTGTAATGTGTTATTTAAATCTTTTGTATTTTCTCCCAAGTCGGAGAAAATTCCGAGAATCCAAATTAAATTTTGATATCTTTATAACGCAATTGACTTTGTAATTTATGGAAAATTTCTATCTTTATCATGTTTATATAAAGTAATGATACAAATAATAACTTCTTACAATTTTAGTATTTAATTACCATTCCAAGTTGCGCAGGCTGCACTACTTTTTATAACAAGGAAACATGTCATGTACTATTAACTCTTTGATAAGCGAGTACTAATTTATCATTTTCACGTGTGAATGTGTCATTTATGCTAATATATTTAAACGTATATATAATTTAATTTCGAAATATCAATTTCATAGTTGAGTTACATATGTTACATTAAATCACGCACATATTATCTATAAATATGCGCGTTTGTTCTTTTATTTTCCTATTTATCTTTCATTGAACACATTGTGGTGAAATATTCATATCGAATACTATGTATTTATCTATCTTTGGAGGCCAAAAGATTAATTTTTTCCAAGCTGCTGCTATTTTGATTTTGTCATCGGCATTCAGACACGTGGAGACTTCAGGTGAATTCCAAATACTTATACAAATTATCTTGCAATTTCATCGTTTACACTTGTTACTTTTTTTTTAAAATTGTCATTTCACCTGTAATTAGAACTAACCGAAAATCTCTTCCATTTAAGACCAGTCGTTTGCTGTCTGTGATAGTCAAAAAGGTTTTATCCGATGTACCAAAGGAACCCAGATTCAGATTTTATCTGCAAACTACGGACGAACGGACGAACAGGTATGTCCTACTGGTAAAACCAAAACACGTACCTGTCGTTCGGAGGCGTCTGAAATCAAGACGAAATGGAATTGCAATGGGTACAGGACATGCCACCTTCACGCCGATGTTCAACACTTCAGAGACCCGTGCCCTAATTACTCTAAATATCTGGAGGTCAAATATCGATGTGTAAAGGATCCAAGCACTATTTCAAATGGTACTTTTAATATGTTATTTTTGAATACATGACAATGTATTTTTAAATAAAAATATTTGGCACATTATAAAGATAATGCAAAATTGGAATTCATATTTTGAAATCCATGTTATATTCACTTACGGTATCATTTGTTATAAAGCATTTAACATTGCAAAAAGGCCAAGTTTAATCAAATTACATAAAAAAAAATTAAATGATAACTGGGAATCGTTAAAATCGTCTTCAGTTTTAATTGATTGTTACCTTATGAACAGGTAATACTTATTTTTGCTGTTGTTTCATTATTCTTTTTCTAATATTTTGCTTGTCATATTGCAGGTACATTTACTGCATTCAATGCATACACAACAAAAACACTACACCTCCAAAGAGGAACACCCGTTAACGTTGTGTACGATGGTGTATATTTTAACTATGGAAACGCATACAATCAACATACTGGTGTGTTCACAGCGCCGTCTGTTGGTCTTTACGTTTTTACGTGGTCAAGTTGTGTAACATCAAAAAAGTTGTTTGACGTGGAGATCCTTCTCAATGGAAAAAGAAAAGGACTCGGAAATTGTAACAATTAGGGTGGATTTTGAAGATGTTATTTTTGATTAAGACACAAATTTTAGTGCAAAAAGGTAATATTAAACTCGCTCTATCGCCAAAAAAAGCACAATGACTCTTATTGTTTATATTGATTTTTAATTAAGCTAGTTCTGTAAAAATTATTAAAACAAAGTTTAAGACAAAAATATCGGGATCAAAACTCGTTTAAATTAACTTTGTGATTTGTTGTTGTTGTTTTTCTTTGTTTTGTTTTTTTAGGCAGAATCATCCACGATGCTAAAAATAACTTTTAGATCTAATATAAGTATAAGTGCGATTGAATTGTAATTGGGTAGTATTAAGTACAGAGAGGTTTGATCGAACGCACTTTAAAGGTTAGGTTTGCGTTTACTTGGAGATAACTCTAGGAATCACCAAAGCGTTTGAATCCGGCAGAATTAAACCAGGGAAGCTAAGCAGTTAATCGGTAACGAATTTCCTTTGTCATACTTGATATTTGTTGTCACTTAGTATTGGACTACCCTAGCAAAAAATACTATAGTTATCTATTGTTAGCTATAGTTAGCTATAGTTTACTATAGTTAAGTATAGTGATAACTTTGACACTTTAAAAACTTTGATTAACTATAGTGATAATTTTGAAAAACTTTGACGAAAACTTTGACACTTTGAAAAAATTTAACGAAAACTTTGACACTTTGAAAAATTGACGAAAACTTTGACACTTTGAAAACTTTGACTTTTTCAAAAACTTTGGCAAAAACTTGGACACTTTGAAAAACTTTGGCCAAAACTTTGACACTTTGATTTACTATAGTTAACTATAGTAAACTATAGTTAACTATATTTAACTATAGTATTTTTTGTTAGGGTAAATACAAAGGACATTTTCAGTTGAAAATCTTATAACAATTAAAATCATAGGAACCTCAGAAGTCTTTGAGTTCACTGTGGATGAACCAATAATGGAGGACTAGTTTATTTACGGAACGTAGCAAGTTGCACGGTTATTCGAGTCAGAAGAAAGTCATCGACGCAAAGAATTGAACATTGTGTGTTGCTCCTTTCACCACTAAACGAAAATGTTAAATGACAATGGAAAAAAAGGACATGAGAGCATCCTGTAAAGTGTCATGCTTTGTGCAGTCTGAACAGGGAAGAGAAGTCACGGCGCATTTGTCCATGTTGCCAGTTTGATTGTTGATGATGGTTGCATCAGGTAATTAATTATTTAAAAGTAAACACGCTATAACTTGCGCCAGTTAAAATACGATTGGAAATTGATACAATTTGTTTATCAATAAAAGTTACGAAAATACTGTAAATTACACCATCAAAATTAAACGCGTTTCAAAGTTATCAAATTATAATTATTTATTATCCTGCAAGGAAAGAAAAACAGCTATTTTAAAATAAATCCATCACGTGACGCCGTCGCTACTTTTAGATTGATAAACACACGTGGCGGAAAAAGAAAACAAGGTAGACCGTTTAGAAATACTACTACTTTTGACGTGGATACTTAATGGTACTTTATCTTTTAATGTATTTCAGTATCAACCATCTTCTCTGTTATGACGCATATTAACCTTACATTAATAATTGTTGTCAAAATGCAACATACCTAGTTGTCTGTGCTTTCCCGCGGACATGTGTTTCTATATACAATGTATAGGCCTACTGTTTACGCACTTCGTTTATCAGTATTCATGAAAAGACTGGATTCTGAATTCCTAGATATTGTTTAATTGTTTTGTTATTACAACGACATCTATAGTACAATTTTGTGGAAAGTATTATTTTTTATTACACTTCATGTGTTTTAAATCATTAATAATTTTGTTTCACACAAAATTCGGCGTTCAGATAGCGTATATGACTTTAACTATTCATTTATGTATTTGTCTTTTATTACCAAGTATTACATTAGAATTGCTAAAAGTTATGAATCATCTACTGACTAAGGGCTTAAAAACGATGAATAAACTGTACGAGGGTGTTACAGGTGTGACTTATATCCCAACAGCTGAACATTGCAGAAAAAAGCAGTCATCCAAGAAATTATGAAAAAAAATCCGTAGCTTTTTTTAATATTTGTATATTCAGTAAATTTGTTGTCTTTTTTTATTAAATAGTCTGAATTATTGATTGACACATAGTTAGATTTAGTTTTATTTAACCCTTGAATTAAAAAAGTTCTATACCTAGAGCCCATTAAATTTAAAAAAAAATATAGAAATCATGAATGCATTAAACAGATAAATGCTCCAACTTTTTTTAGTCAAACATACAAATCCATCAAAACCATGTTTAATATGTTGCAAATGGATTTTTTCTCCCTTATATTTCATTAAGACATTTTTTAAAAACATTTAATCTATTCATGAGTATTTCAAAAATTTAAAGGATTTAAAGTACATTTTAAGTTAAAAAAGAAAGGAGGGGTGTTAACACTGAGAGTTAGTATCAATCTTTATTTTTCAAACTTTTTCCTAATTTACTAAGTTCTATGATTGTATGTACCTTCCACTCTATTTGAAATTTAAGTTTTTCTCACTGCTAAGTTTAATCAGATGTCCTGCTTAGAGGTACACATTTTGGTTTAAAAAAAACAATACATGAACTATTTGAAATTCGCATAATGTGTCACTGAATAGATTTTATATTGAGATATATTTTGGTTGAAATGACCCGGAAACATGCTTTCAGCTACCAGGTATTCAAGATACCTTTTGTAAAAAGGATGTAGAGATAACGAACAGTATTTAATCTCAAAGTCCATTAAACAATATACAAAATACGAGCAGAGCAAACACGGACCTCCGAAACATCAGAGGTGGGATCAGGTGCCATGGAGGAGTGGGCATCCCCTGCTGACCGGTCACACCCGCCGTGTGCTCCTTGTCATGATCAGGAAATAATGGATAAAATCCGTCGTCAATTCAGTGTATAAATAATGGACTAACAATTGGTATGAAAAACGTCAGTCAGCATTTGACTCAATGATAAATTGTATTTGCTGACAAGGTCATTGTATCGACCATAGAACTTACGAAATGATAACTTTAAACGAGACTGTTGATATTCTTGTTTCATCAACTTGCTTGTCAATAATTTACCTCGTTTAAGAAATTAAGAGCATGCTCTTGCGCATCGAATCAAATAAAAGATATAAACTTTGTATGCAGATGATGAAGGTATATTCTTGCATAAGTTATGGAAGTTGACGATAGAAAAGTTAAAGTCATCACGTTTATCATAGAGCTTGGTTGTTAGATTACCATTAGTGTCTTTTTCAAGTAAAATATCCAAGTATGAAGCAGAAGTGTCGGACTCTGTGGTATCTTTTATCTCAAGCTCACTAGGATATATCGTATCGACGTAGAAATGGAAATTATCATTACTACTTGACAATACGTCGTCGATATATCTAAATGTCGTGTTGAAGGCCACAGCAAGTGTTTTCTTTTCACGCACAAGATTTTGCATGAATTTCTGCTTCATATGAATATACAAATAAGTCTGCTAATAACGGAGCGCAATTTGTACACCGTGGGAATTCCAGATTGTTGGAATACCTGGTCTCCAAAAACCACATAGATATTCTCAATCAGAAACTCAAGCATCTTTTGATGTCAACTTCAGAGTACTTATGTGTTCAATCAGAATCTGTTTTAACAAAATAATTTTGCAAATGACCAATAACGAGGTAAGTAAATTTTACAGAGTTCCATTTTTATTGAAGAGGCAGCTGTCAATGATATCAAAAACTCTGGACTTTAATTTATCCTGGGGGAATGGTTGTGTATAAAGTTGAAAAGTCGTAAGTTTTTAAGCTGTCGATTTTGGTAAAATCTGGAGATTTCAAATTGTCCAAAAGATCCTTGGAGATTTTAAGTATCCACATCTAATTTACACCACTTCTTGAATATATTGTTGCACAGTACTCTTGAAGTTTCTCCTTCACTATTGTTAATATCTTAGTGAGGAGTAACGAAAGAGGCTTGGTTGAACATTTACTGGAACCTGCAATGTCTCTTTGTTTGTAAGGATTCTTATGAAGTTTGGATTCCAATATATATAGGGTAGTTCAAATTCATTTTGGCTCTGTGGAATATTAAGAGCATGTCTACGAGAAAACCATGCAAGAGGTTATGGGAGCAAGGTTCTCGGATCAACCTCATATTTTGTGTGTAAATTTCTTCTATAGTGTGAAATATTTTGCCAGAAATTTTTTTCAGTGTGGTCTCACTTAAGGGGTTAAATCGACCCTATTACTAAAAATAGAATTCTTGGTCCTTACGCAGGGAGAAAACAGGAATTTTACAGGATTTTATATTTAAAAATTCAGCGTTTTACTTGGTAATGATAAAAAATATCCATATATGGTTGAAAGTAACAAGATACACTTGTTTCAGAAAATTTTTCATAATCACAAACTGTGCTCCCGTTTAAGTGCAAAAAGGTCACAAATCTGGCATATTTCCAGATTTTTGAAAACTCGTTGAAAATATTTACTTTTCAAAAACTTATAACTCAGAAAGTGACGCTTAGAATCAACTCAATCTCATACCAATCATTAGACAACATGTCTGTCTAAATTATATAAAAAATCTGTCTATGGACTCTCAAATATTTTGCTATACTTTTTACTTAAAGTTGGACATTTTTTTGTGAATTTTCAAATTTTCTCATCCCTGAACTTCATCTATCAAGGAGTTATTTTGCTGATTTAAATATTTTCAAAAATTTTAATTTTGCTGTTGAAAAATACCAGTATATTGTACATTTTTTTTTTTCAATCAATAATTATTTCTTAGGGGGTTAAATGGGGTTAATTGGGGGGGGGGGTGCCAGATTGTAAATATTATTTTACATTTTCTTTAAGCAGGGCAATATACACATGTCTTAGTACCTGTTTGTCAATCAGGAGACCAAGTGTGTTCTCTCTTAGCTTAAAAAAATCATTTGCTTAATAGATAAATAAACATAGTACACTGGTACCTACTAATAAGTA